CCTTCTTAAGAGGTTATCTAGGTTGTTGGAGCAATTGTTGTTGGTGGAGTAGTAGTTGGTTTTTCTGTGGTTGTTGGTTGTGCTGTGGTTGCCAGAGCAGTGGTTGTTGGTGGAGCAGTAGTTGGTTTTTCTGTGGTTCTGGGTTGTGCTGTCCTTGTTGGTGCGATGGTTGTTGATGGAGCAGTAGTTATTGGTTTTTTTGTGGTTGTTGGTTGTGCTATGGTTACCAGAGGAGTGGTTGTTGGTGGAGCAGTAGTTGATGGTTTTTCTGTAGTTTTTGGTTGTGCTGTGGTTGCCGTAGCAGTGGTTGTTGGTTTTTCTTTGGTTTTGGGTTGTGCGGTGGTTGTTGGTGCAGTGGTTGTGGGTGCAGTGGTTGTGGGTGCGGTGGTTGTGGGTGCGGTGGTTGTGGGTGCGGTGGTTGTGGGTGCGGTGGTTGTGGGTGCGGTGGTTGTGGGTGCGGTGGTTGTGGGTGCGGTGGTTGTGGGTGCGGCTGTTGTGGGTGCAGTGGTTGTTGGTGCAGTGGTAGTTAGTGCGGTAGTTGTTGGTGCGGCGGTTGTTGGTGGAGTACTGACTGTTGGTGAAGCAGTAGTTGTGGGTTTTTCTGTGGTTGTTGGTTGTGTTGTGGTTGCCTGAGCAGTGGTTGTTGGTTTTTCTGTGGTTGCTGGAACATTAGTCGTTGGTGGAAGAGCAGTTGATTGTTTTTCTGTAGTAGTGGGTTGTGCTGCGGTTGATGGTGCGGTGGTTTTTGGTTGAGCAGTAGTTGATGGTTTTTCGGTGGTTGTTGGCTGTGCTGTGGTTGTTGGAGCAGTAGTTGTTGGTTTTTTTGTGGTTGTTGGTTGTGCTGTGGCTGTTGGTTTTTCTGTGGTTGTTAGCTGTGCTATGGTTGTTGAAGCAGTGGTTGTTGGTTTTTCTGTGGTTGTTGGCTGTGCTGTGGTAGTATCCTGCGTTTTTTTAGGTCCTGTCGTGGTTTGAATCGTTGCTACGGAGGTGGGAGCTGCAGTGATAGGTGTGACTGTAGTTTGTGCGCTGGTTGAAGATTTTATACTGGCTTTTGTTTCGGTAGTAGTAGAAGAAGGCTCAGTTTCCATTGTTGCTTCATGAGGAGTTGTTGGTTTCTGGGTGAGTTTTAGCTCAGTTCCCTTGGATGGGGTCGGAGGTTCTGTTGGTTTCCCTTTTGTGGCTACGTCCATTTCTTTGGTTGGGCCAGAAGATTCTGTTGGTGCTGTGGTCCCCTCCGCATCCTTGGTTGTGACAGGACGCTCTGTCTGTTGTTTTGATGTGGGCTCTTCACCACCTGATGAATTAGTGAAAGAAGATGAACATTCGTTTAACAATGTACTTTCGTAAAGAAAAATCATAATAAAATAACTTTTCTGATTTTGCTCTCATTGCCAAGATAACAATTAATGACTCTGGTGGCTAACAATGTTTAACGATGCAGCACTTGACTCTTCATAGCGTGGTTGCGTGACATGACGAAATTTAAAATAGGACGATTTTGCGCATCATCCCACCTTCCACCCATATTTCGTCCATATTGGTCTAAGTTTAACGAGGGGCGAAGGGGGTGGGGGTGGGGGTTGGCTTGGGGCCTCTAAAATGGGAGTGCAGCGGTATTTGTAATTTCTTATGGTTGTTTTTGGACCGGTTGTTATTGATGCTTTAGTTATCGTAACGAAGGTTTACACTTTCGCGGTTGTCGCCTGAATAGTTGTTAGTCTTTGGCCAGATGGCGGTTCAGTTTCTTTAGCTGTTGCCAAAGTTCGGTCGGTACTGCTTTAGTAGTCTTTATTGCTAATAAAGTAACGCCACAATAACGCCGCCATCTTGCGTGAAGTCATTGAGCTCTACCTTGCCGTGAAACAAGCATGGCTGCTGTAGAACCATATCCCTCCGAGCCAGAACGTATTCCCGAAGAGAACAAGGCGTCCAATGACGATAGTGATGTGTCTGAAAGACCTAACATTTTGAACTGATCGATTGCGTTTGGAGTGGATTCAGAGAAACTGAAAGGGAGTGCATCTGTTTCCTCGAACAGCCCAAATCGGAAAACAGGTTTACGGAGTTTATGATAAAGGTTCAAATTTCTTACTCTTTTTCTCTTCTTTTTTCACTTCACTATTGTTGCTTGTTTGTGTGTCTTTATAAACAAGCAAGCTTTCACCAACGTGTTGTAAATAAACGGTTTAGGTTTTAGGTTTAGGTTTTAGCTTCAAATACCATAAAACAAGCTCTGCAATCATCGACTGTTTCGACACTATTGAATATTGTGCTTTAATTGTTACCTCACTTGCGAAAACAGAGTTGTGGTGCATTACAGATCGAAAAGAGTCTTCGATCGTTAACTTAAATCGGGTTGTTTTGAGAACACTGTAACTGTAACAGACTGCCGTCACCTTAACTCATGCAGACCTGGAAAGAAAAGTATATGTCTGAACTGATATTTATTTAAGAGTAAATGTCAGTAAAAATCAAGGAAAATTCAAAAAACGTGGCCACG